TCCTGCTCTCTCCTGCCTTTCTCTTTTCTCTGTATAGGCTGGGAGGCCCGGAATTGTATTCCAGCCGGCACATTCCAGCAGGCTGTACTCTCTGGAGGGGAAAACAGTCCCACTCGGAAGTATACCCGAGGAGAGCTGACAGCTGTGGAGTTTTTGCAGGAGTTGGGACAGCAGTGCTTTGAGATTGTAAGCCAGTTCCCCCCTCCTCACTTCCATGCTTCCTGGCTGCAGGGAAATGGGATTTTGCAATGTAGTGGCTCAGTGAGGAAAGAGGAGCTTTTAAAAGGAATCCTTTGCTGGAAGGGTCTGGATTTACCATCTAGGAAGCATAATTTTTGTGCCTGGCAGAATGCTCAGCTGAATTTGCCTTCTCTTCTGCCAGCCTCTTCCTGCACCTTTCATAACATTATTATTTTTTTTTAATTTCAAGACACCTCTAGGTCAGCTGAAATGAGAAGTCAGAGGCAGAGACCAGCTCAGAGGCTTTTGCTGCTTGTTCATACATGGGCTTGCTCAGTGGATGGGGGCCCATGGTCTCTGGGGAGGGTTCTTAAGATCAGCAGAAGCCCCCCCAGCACAGCTGCAGGAGCCCAGTGCAAGAATCCCCTTTTGAATAAAGTCTTTTTGAAACAGCTCGGTCTAAAATGCAGGTTTATTTCCTGCCTGCTGAATGGTGAAGGAGTTTTTCTCTCTAACCTGCCCAGATTCTGTGGCAGGCACAGTCCCACTGCAGTTCTCTTTCCCAAAATCAGCCCTTTCTCTGTGCTGCTGCTGCTGCTGCTGTAGGATCAGTCATGTGAGAACACTTGTTTATTTGGTCTGAGCAATTTAGCTGGGAGGTTCACTGTTTGCCTTCTGCTGCCAAAGGAAGTAGGGCAGCAAGATAAGATGATCAGGCAACCTAGCTACCCAACCACTCATTATTTTCCTCCCTGCTAAAAAGCATTTATGGCTAATTATCATTCTTGGGGGGGTTTTCTGGTTTCTTAGGCCAATGTCTGTGTTCCAGTGGACTCATTTATTTCTGACTTAATAAAAAATGAGATGATAAAACAGCTCCCCATGATGGCAGAAGCTGTGCAGTGTATCCGTGCAGAAGGTCTGAAGACAGCTCTTCTAAGGAACAACTTCTGTCTGCTGAATGGAGGGAGCTTTCTGCCCCTGGATCCAGAGCACTTTGATGTGGTAAGGCTGGGTGGGTTCCCAAATGCAGCTCTGCAGGAAGGGCTGGAGAAAGCAGCAACCAAAACTCTTCCCCTGCAGGTACCAAGTGGAGGGCAACCAGCAGCAGGGGTTAGTAGACACCAAGGTAACAACATCCTGTGAAAGTGTTCCCGGGTGTAGCTCCTTGCAGTGGCCTTGGAGAGGCTCTGAGGGAGTGGCAGCTACTTGTGCATTTGAAAATTCATAGCAAAATGGCCACACAACCACAAGTAACCATGTTAACAGGCAGGGGTGCTGATGTTGATAAAGGGCTTAGAAGCTGGAACACTGTACAGGGAAGAAATGTTCTGCCCCAGTGCCCCTACCTGGTTTATATTTCATCCTTACTGCTGGAAAGCTTAGTTGATCCCAAAGAATTGAGAAGCATCCCCTGTACCACAGAACCCCCATTACCCTGGCATGCTGCTCTGTCTGGGCAGGCAGAGCCCTGTCCCAGCACACTTCCCTTTCCCAGGGGTGAAGCAGCAGGTCACCCATGAACCTCGAGGCCAGTTCCAGCAGCTCCAGTTTAGCAGGCAACTGTGAGGACTCAGCACAACAGGGAATTTGCTATTTTGTGTGCCCCAACTCCCATCTTGGAATTTCAGGAGTTTATTCACGACTTAAAGTTTATTTTATAACCTTGAATAAGACAGCAAAATATGCAATGAAAGTCATGTTGATGCATTTAAAACCTGGGACTGTTTAAACTCACCTTGTCAGCATCATCTCATCATCAGCTGGGCTTTCTGATCATCACACTCGTGACACCTCTGAAGTTCTGGTGGAGTGAGACTCTGTTGAGATGCTCTGTGGTGCCTTTCATCCCAGCCTCTTTCAAAGCACTTTAATAACCATGGCCTAGCTGGTGTCATCACTCATGCAGTGTGGCTCTTCCCTAGCAGCTGGCGACAGCACTGTAATTAGTGGGGAAAGAAATTAATTGAATGTGGGTTTCCATTAGGATTGGCTTTTATGTCTAGCTAATAGATTCATTTCTATTCCTATCAGGGCTGGGGTGAGATACTGCTTGAATGTTTTAGTGTTGAGGGCAATGTGAGTATTCAGAGACTGAATTCAAGACCTTTTTGATGCACAGTTGGGCAGATGGTTATGGACAAGGTCTCTGCTGCTGTGAAGGTTGTTGTGGGGTGGTTGGTCAGTGCCAATGGTCAGGACACTGCTTTTCCAGAGCATATGGAAGAGGGTGCAATCCAAGGCTTTCTTCGACAGCGCTGAGGAGTTGGTTCAGCA